GCTGTCACACCCCAGCCTAGAAGCAGGACCCCAAATTACAGAACTACACCAGCCAGAGGGAACTTATAGCCTGGCGGGTCTAAGGCCCACAATTCATGGGTAGGGAAACTGAGGCCCAGGGAGGGACAGTGACCCGCACAGTATCAGAACTAGAACCCAGGTCCCTCCTCCCCAGGCCAGAACTCTTTGCACCTAGCAAGGGGCAGGTGGCAAGGTAGAGGCCCTCCTGCTTAGGTAGTGGGCAGAGGGGGAGGGGTTTAAATGGGTATCCTTGATTCCTGGGGGCACCCTACACAATCTGCCTGCTTATGGGGCTACTTGGTAGGAAATTACCATCCCACACCTGACTCTGCCCACCCTTCCCTGCACTGCTGCCCCCCCTCAGGCTGTACCCCCTTCCCTTCCTGCCCTCCCCCCGGCAGATGAGTGTGAATGCTGCAGACACCCTGGGTCCCAGGGGAATGATGACAGTCTGAGCGGTGGTCTATGCGCATGTGTGGGTGAGTGCACAATGACACTCGGGCCCGCCCCGCTGCGCCATAAGCTCCCAGAGGACCTAGCTCATAGGTGCTCCCTACCCGTCGTGGGACAGCCAGGCGACACCTGGCACACACCCCAGAGCCACAGCTCCCTCAAAGTCAGAACAGGCGGGGCCTCTAGGTACCTCATACCTCAGGGCATGGGAAGGTTAAAAAGGGGTCCACGGCCAAATACACCGGGGGCACCCTGTATTAATATGAAGAGACAAGCTTCTCGTGGGACTTCTCAGAGCCTTTCATGTGCTGATGGACACTGTGAGTCTCTCACTATGAGACCAGTGGGTACTTTCACTCCAAACTTCAGAGATCACAGCATCCACCATGAAGCAGGCACTGCAAGCTGGAAGATGCTGGGACTAGAACTCAGCTCGCAGGAAGGCCTGACGGCCAGCTAACAGGGCCCCTGCCAGCCACAGGGCCCCTTTGTGCAAAGTAGAAAAAAAACACCCCTTCAAGCCATCTGTGGGAAAATTAACACCAATGTGCTGATTTTATTAGAATAGGACCTTTACTGCCATCTGCTGGAAACACAGTAAATACACAAATCTGCAATCTGTGAGAATGGCACCATTCTCCCCTTTAGGTATTTAGAAATGATACTCTTGTCCGGTGTGTCACCTGCCCAGCCATGCATAGCGGCCCTGAGTCCAAAGTCACGCGATCCCAGCCCACCCACCAATCCCTTTCTACGTGCACCATTATGTTCCAGGTGAGTGCTCTAAACTGACCTCTCAGCCTCCGCCCTTCTGCATTTCTTGTAGGCAGAAAGGGATGCTGGGGGCTTCGTGTCCACTTATCACCTAGCCCACAGCTGGCTCAAATGACTGACCCCTGAACATATTCCATGAATGCTTTATGCACTGAGGGTGTCGACTGGGGAGCAGGGATTGGGATCCAGATCCAGCCCGGGCTCTACCTTGCTGTGTGACCACAGAGAAGTCCTTATCTCTGTCTGGGCCAGTTTTCCTTTCTGTAAAATGAAGCAGTTGAGCTTGATCGTTTCCAGGAGCTCAGAGAGCTGACAATGACCACCCGATCCCAAACCCACAGAACTTTGAGAAAAGCAGGAAGGTCATCCCAGTTGCTGATTGAAAGACAGTCAGGAAGACAACAGAATACAACTGGAACTTTTTATTAGACTAGGAAATATAATTTATTTTGTAAAAATTAATTTTGTTACAATAGGAATGCTAAACGTTATGTACAGGTTGAAGTTTACAGAATAAACAGCAGTGGGATCGGGCCATCCCCGCAGCCCTACATCCCCGGGACACATAACCATGTCCACGGCCCAGGCAGGGGGGCCAGCCCTTTGCCCCCAGCAGAGCTGCTCCCTGCACCCAAACTCCCGGTCACCTTCCCTCTGAAGGTGTACTAAGGGACCTGGCCCAGCTGCCTGGTTGCTGGGAGAAGGGGACCAGAGGGTCCTGGGTCTTCCAGGAGATGGAGAGACCCCCACAAAGGACCCCTGGTCTCTGCGAGAGAAGGCAGAGGAGAGGCACGTAGAAGATACACTGACTGACCCTGTGGACTCAGGGAGGTCACACACGCACATCCGGGTGGGGACATGTTCCGGGGGGGGTGGGCAACCTGATGTGCCTGCAGACAAAAGCACGCACATCCGGGGCACGCACACACACATGCACGTGCAAGCACATCCCAGCAATGAGAGAGACACAAACACCCACTCGAGGCCCCTGCAAGCCCCTCGGGGGCCCCTGATCTGCCTCTCATGGGGCACATGGGTTATGTGCGGCAGCCGCTTAGGCCTGAATAAGAGGAGAAATCCTGATGCTACCCTAAGGTGGGCGGTGTGGGGCTGCAGCCACGGCAGCCTCAGCAGAGGACTGATGGATGGAGCCAGCTAAACTTTTCCAGGCGTTTCTTATAAAGCTGGACAGTTTGAACCCTCCCAGGAGGCTCCAGCCAATTGGGTCTGTGCTCCAGGCCCTGGTACACACTTTTTGGAAATCAACTGAGAAATGGCACATGGGTGGCTGGCCTGGCCTCATCCAGCAAAAGCTCCCATCCTGGGTGCTGGGCAGGCAGGGTGGGAAGGAGGGGCATGGCAGACCGCGGCCAACCTCCCCCCACTAGGGTTCCCACTAGAACCCTAGAACGACCATGTGTCAGAACCCAAAGGGAGTCCGACAGCTGCGGGTATGAAAAGATGAGGCCCAGAGAGGGCAGTCCTGTGCCTGAGGCCACACAGCAGTTTAATGGCACAGCTGGAGCTTGAGTGCTGGTCTTTGAACTCCAGGCTGCCCGGGGGCCTTTTAGAGACGGATGGGAAGGGCACCGGGAAAGCCTCTGTGGCACTGGTTAGGCTGCCGTCAAGGCCATGCTGTCACACAGGCCTCCGTGGCTCAGGCTAGGAGGCATCGGGGACTTGGAGCCCACAGCGGATGGGCACCCTGGGCAGGGAAGGCTCGCTGCCTTTGAGGCAACACCACACAGGCACTGGGGTCAAGAGCTGTTGCTGCCCCACCCCGAATGCAGGCCTGGCCCCTTCAGCAGCCCTGATAGAAGAAATCCTCTCTCAAACCGAGCAGGCCTCTGTCTGCCTGCGGCTAACCTACCCCCCCGGGGGGTCGGTAGGTGGTGAGAACCCCCATAAGCCCCAGAGTCCATGGCAGGGAAGGGTAGGTTGGGGACACCGCCTGGGACTGGAGCTCCCAAACCTGCTTTCCTCCCAGGAGACCAGGCTTTCAAAGGCCAGGATATGCCCAGGCTGGTCCCAGCAGCTGCTCATGGACCTGCTGGGGCAAGCCCTGGGGTCAGAGCCTGCCCAGAGCTGTCGGGGGGGGGGGGGGGGGGAGGGTTTGGCCTTTGCCCTGGGTGCGAAGGAGGAGAGAGAGGCCTCTGTGCCAGTTGTAAGAGCCAGGTCCCAGCCCTTGTCAGCCAGTCAAAAAGGGACCTTGATTTGATGGCCCCTTGGAGCGTCCTGGAGCAGGCTGGCAAGGGGGTCCTGGCCCCTCCACTCTGGCAGCCCTGCCTGTTCAAAGCTCCCTTCAAGACCTCCCAGACTGCAGAGGGAGGCTGAGAACCGGGCTGAGGGAGGTGCCGGTGGAGGTCAGGGCTGGGAAAACAGCCCTCCCCAGGTCCTCCTCCAGTACGGGCGGGGGAAGGCGTGTAGAGCCCAGCCGGGCACCCACCTCCCGGACTGCAAGGCTGACTGCTGACACGTTCTTCAAAGCCACACCGAGGCCCAGAAGCTCAGGCTTCTGCAGTTAGAGGCCCTCTTATCCATCCCTTCTGTTTTATAGATGAACTTCCCCAGCCAACTGAGGCTGGGGAAGACCAGTTTCTGGATTCCTGGGCATTAACAGAATGCCAATATGCTGCAGCCCACCTAGTCTACGAGCTGCTAGGTGGAGGGATGACCTGGCTGGTCCCATCCCGGGGTGAAGGAGAGAAACGTCCATAGGAGACTCTATCTCCCTCCGCCCCACTTCTTTCTCTGCTTGGGCCCCACCCCCTTCTCCAGGAGCCACCAGACTGGGACACTGGAAACATCGTCCCTGGCTCACAGCTGGCCCGGCCTGCCCACACTTTCTACCCCAAGGCCTCTTAATCCGGACTCCCCAGGAGCCCAGGGAGGCTGTGGGGCATCTGCCTGGGGAGGCGGGTGGGCGGGAGGACCCCATCCCACTCCAGACCTCAGGGCTCCTTGGCTCTATAGATTCAGCATCTGCTTACGATTTTAGAGAGAAATACGGTACCATGGCTAAAACCCCATTTGACCCTGTACAACTGGGGAAACTGAGGCCTTGTAGGAGTTAGTCTAAGACAGAATCCTTAGCAGCAAGGTGTTCTGTCTCTCTCTCCCTGATAATCTCTCTCTCACACACGTGCACACACGCACACATGCTCACTCCTGGCCAGAGCCATGAGCAAGCCCATACTCATCCACACTCAAGAAAAGAGTTTTCTATTTTTTTTGTGTTGTTTTTCATTTTCTTTCTTTTTTTTTTTTTTTCTTAAAAAGGACTTATCCAAATATCTGGATAATAAATCATGTGCGTTTCCTAAGAAACTGGGTTTTTCTTTTCCCTTGTGGTTTTGGTGTTGCTCTTTTTCTTCTTGGAGGCTGACTGGCGGTCTGAAGTGTCTTTCTTCCTTTACTTTTCCTTTTTGCTTTGGCCAGGAGAAAGCGGTTTGTGTGAACTGTACTTGACTCTTCAAAGAGGAAAATGGTGTGAAAGGAGAAAGGGGCTCGCGGCAGGGGAGGAACCAGGAACTGAGGGAGAAACTGAAGGACGAAACTTAGACACACGTAACCCAGAGCTCCCGGGGCGGCAGTAGCAGGTGGTGTGGAAGGAGTCGGGGGGGGGACCCCTCCTGGCGCCCTGGGTTGCCTCCGGAGACCTCATGGGGGTGCCCCGCAGAGATCTGCTGGCAGGAGAGACAGCCAAGGGCAGAGAAGGAGCACTGGGGCCTCTGGACAACGGACTACATGGATTTGCTAAGGCTGGTCGTGGTCTGGAGTGGTGCGAGGGGAGGAGGCGAGGGTGACTCCGGCTGTGAGCTGGGGGGCAGCATAGGCCGCCCCGCCTCTCAGGAGGCTGCGCGAGCCCCCCCGTGCCCGCCTCCCGCCCGCCCTCCCAGCCCGTGGTTCCGGGGCCGCTCAGCAGGCCCCGTCAGTGGCCATGGCCACCAGCACCTCGCTCTTGCCCATCCCCTCCAAGGCACTCGCCAGGCTGTTGAGGTCCCCGTCGTCCTGCTGCAGGGCTTCCCAGAGGTCCAGGATCACACCCGTGGGGCTTGCTTTGGTGGCAAAGTAGTTCAGGTACCTGGCAGAGGGAAGGAGAAGGCCATGGGGCTCCCCGAACACCCAGCACCTCCTGCGAGCATGGGAATGGAGAGAGCACTGGGAGGTGAGAAGACTCTGCAGTCCCACAGTCCTGGGTCTGAGCCCTAGCCCCTCTGCCGGGGGGCTGTGCGGCCCCAGGTGAGCCCCCGCTCCTCTCTGAGCCCCGGGCTCCTCCTCTCTAAAATGGAAACGGTCTTGCTCATCCTCATCCACCATCCCGGTTAGTACTACCATTGAAAGACACTGGCCCCAGGAGAGACGGTCCAAACCTAGCCTTTCATTCTTTCCTCCTCCCACATCCGTTCCCTGCTTGGTCTCACCCCCCCCGCTCCCCCGAGCGCAGGAACAAAGCCTTAGACACTTTGCAAAGCCCATCCATTTCTAGTAAGGTGCCTTGTATGTAGCATCTGCTCAACACGGGTTTATTAAAGGGTTTCTCAGTAAGTATGTAATAATAAGGACTATTGTTGCCATTATATTTATCCAGAAGAACTTTTTAAGTTCTCCAGAAGGGTTTTGACATGAAAATATACTCTGTCACTCTGCAAGCATTTCCGGAACACCTGCTCTGTCCTGGGCATGGGGGTGCAGATGGTGGTTACACCTGGCGTCCCGGATTCCCCTGATTCTCACCGGCCAGCACCCTGAGCATGGCGCTCCTCAAGGAATGGGCTTCTCGGATTTAGCACACCCGAGCCTGAGCTCCTGATCACCCATGGATGGAAGGATGTGCCTGGACTGTCGGGCTGCCTGCCCCACCTGCCCCTTGGGGACAAAGGGAGGCTGGGGTGGGTTGGGCCCGGCCCAACACCCACCGGTCCATGGAGAGCTTCTGCGCCAAGAGCCGCCAGTCATTGCCCCGCGAGCTGGGGGCGTCCAGGCTGTTGCATATCTTTTGGCGGATGGACAGTGGAATCTTGAAGGCATAGGGCCCCAGCTGGGTGGTGACCGTGCTGCCAGGGGCAGAGCAGAAGGCGTCCAGGGAGCTGGCAGGCGTCTGGAAAAGCAGGGGCAAGGTGAGAGGGGGAAAAGCCCCCCCACCCCATGCACAGCACTGGCACCCGTCCCTCCAACCTTCCTGCCCGGGACTGGGAGCTCATGGAGGTTCTGGTTACTCCCCACGCTCTGGGCAGGCTCCAGCTGCCCAAAGACCTCCTCCCCTGGAAGCTTCCAAGGTCCAGGGCTGCATGGCCAACCCCCAGCCCTCGGGGTGCACCGTGCTCACGCACTGGCCCAGGCTAATGCTGATGGCCTCTCGTGATTACAAAGCCACAAGGAGCCTCAGCCATGGTCTAATCCACACAGGGCCACTTTTACACGTGTGGAAATGAAGTCTAGAAAGGGGAGGTGACGTGCCCAGGGTCACATGCCAAGGTAGGGGCAGAGCGGGGCCTAGGCCCATAGCCAGTGCTCTTGACACCATGCTGCAAGGAGGTTCTAGCACTGCTGTCCTGGGTGGCCTGGGTTTTGTAAACCTCAGGCTGGATTTATAGTGGGGGAAAACTGCAGGCCTGGGCCAAGTGCTGACTGGATCCAAGGTCAGTGGTCTCTGTCCTCCCTAGAACCCACTTTCCGACTTAGATGTTGCTACAGGACCAAGCACAGTAAGTGGTAGCTCTGAGCAAAACTGCCCAGGTCCCAGCTTAGACTTGGGAGGTGAAGGGAACATATCTTTACGGGAGACAGCACTCCCCCGCAGCTGAGGGGGGAGCACGGGGGTCTGAACGCTGTCCCCCCTGGCCCCACAGAGTGTCTGGCCTCACCTCTGCCAGCGTGGCGTGCAGCTGGAAGATCTGGCCTTCCCCTTCCACCTGCCGCACACAGATCTTGCAGGTGAGCTCTGTGGAGGCCAGGCTGTGCCTCTCCAGGGTGAAGGTGCAGTGCAGAGCCTTCTGGCTGCCACTCCAGATGTGACAGAAGGGGATCTCCTGAGGGAGGGGCGGCAGGGTCAAGGATGGGAGGCGAGCCTGCCCTGCCCTCAGAGGCTGGTAATGAGGCCAGCCTCGGGGAGTGCGGGGACCTCTCAGTGGGCAGTGCAGGCCTCTCCATTCAGACAGGCAGAGGGAGAAGAGCTGGTCAAGGGCCCTTCAGCTGAGAAACGGAGCATATGGGGGAGAAGGCACAAGTCTGGATGCGTGAGTGTGTGTGCAAGGGTGTGCATGCGTATACGAGTGCGTGTGCGCACGTGTGTCTGGGCTGGAAGCCTTGCAGTCTCAATAGTGTCGTGCAGATAGGTGCCAGGCACAGGGATGTGACTAGTGGAGATTCCTCTGCAAGGTCTGCCAGGCATGAACACTCTTAGGGACGGTAAGGCCTCTTTGAAGGTGATGTATATAGACATCTGTGTTTAGGAGTGTGCCATGGGGTGGGCACCGAGTGTGAGGCTGTGCCTCGGGATGACTGGGAGTGTGGAGTGAGGTGGGAGGGAGACAGAGACTGGGGGTGGGGGCAAGCCTAGGGAAGGAGGCGGGGCCAAGGCCTGGGCAGGGGCACTGGTCTTCCCTGGGCAGCCCCTCAAATGTTCCCCCCCTCCCCAGCTTCATTCCCCTCCCCCAGCCCTCACCTGGTACTTGGCCAGCAGCTTGCTTCTCCAGTGGGCATGGGGGATGTCGTGCAGAGAGAGGCGCAGGTTGTGGTAACTGTCTTTAAACAGCAGGGGTTTGGGCTCCTCCACTAGATAGCCACCCAGCGTCCGCTCCAGCTCCAGCACCTCCTGAGGGCCAGGAGGCAATGGGAAGGGGGAGCCCATCACACTTGGCCAATGGGTTCTTCTTGCTGCAAGCTGGGGGTCTGGGGACACATGCGGGCTGTGGGAGCCAGGCTGTAGGACTGAGGGCAGGTATCCATCGGAGCACGGGGCCAGGTATTTGGTAAGTGCTCAGAGAAGACACACTGTGTGAACAGATGGATGAATGGACAGATAATGGGACAGATGGATAGATGACTGGATTTACAGATGACTAGACAGAGAGATGGACGAATAGATAGAAAAATGGATGCATAAATACAGACAGACAGATGGACATGTAGACGGATATACAAATGGATGGGTAATAAATAGAAGGACAGATGGAAGGAAAGATGAATGGATGCTTGGTGATGGCTGGACAGACAGATGGACTGCTGAGTGAATGAGTATACAGATAGAGGGGCAGCAAGCTGGATGGATGATGGGTGGATGGACGAGCGGATGGACGGACAGATGGGGACTGAAGAGATAAGGAATGCCATCAAGCCAAAATGTGGCAGCTCCCCTCCTGACCTCCACTCCATTCTCTGACCAAAGCTGGACCCTGGCCAACGCACCAGTGCTGAGGGATGCAGGCCGCAAGAGCACTTCCCAGAGCCTCCAACCCATTCTGGGCCTTCTGGAATTTCAGGCCAGCTCAGCCCAGCAGAAGACATGCACTCTCCCATGAGGCCTTTCCACCTGTGCTGCCTCAGTCCGTGACTTGGAGTTTGGGACAAGTCACATGCTACTGGGAGACAGGGACCGGAGGAGACCACAGACCATGGGTCGGGGGAGGCCTGGAGCTACAGGAAACGGACCAGAGGCTTCACAGGGGGATGGAAGGAGGGAAGAGGTTTACACGGGGCCAAGGAGCCATGTTCTTCCAGTGTTAGGATGAGCCTGAGGTCCTAGGAACGCGGCGGAGGGCTGGGGAGGCAATGGTGGGACTTGGAGGCGGGGGGGGGGGGGCAGGGTGCTACTAACACAGGTCCACACTGCCACCACCAGGCTCTATGTGCCCAGATCTGACACCTTCACCTTTCTGCCCCCCCCCCCCCCCCGCCCAAACCACTGGCACCTGCCACAGCCCCTCCCTCATGCAGGGACACCGTCTGTCCTTTTGCATATACTCAGAACCTGGCCGTCGGCCCCCACGCCTCCCTCCCCTCCCCCTCCCATCAGTCACTGGGTTCTGTCCATTCTGCTAACACAGCGGCCAACCCCGTCCTCGCGGCTGTCACTGCCTCGTGTCCAGGGCCCAGGGCCCAGTTGCAGCTTTCAGCTGGCCTCTCTGCCTCTTGTGCAGCCATGCCCCAGCATCGCACAGGGGCTTTCAAAAGAGCGCCTGTGAACAGGGGTCCACCGCGTCTATGCCGCCGCCCACTGGATGGATCCCAAATTCCTGCTCATGGCTCCCAAGGCTGCTGGGGAGCTGAGCCCTGCCCACCCCCCAGCCCCATCTCTCTCCCTGTCGCATACACACAGCCCCTGCAGGCTTTGGCCACTCGGAACGACACACCTGCCTTTGCGTTAGCGGCTCTGCCTACCGGAAGGCCCTTCGGCCTCCTCGGCCTGGCACCCCTACTCGGCTTTCGGAGCACGGGTCTAAGGCTAACTGTGCTGTGAAGCCTTCTCAGACCCTCCCCCTCCCAGTCGGGTGCTCCTCGCCCTCCGTCAGGGAGCCCCCTATCTGTCTCCCCCTCCTCCAGCCTGGAGCTTGGTGAGGGCAGAACTGTGCCTGATTCCTCTCTGTACCTTGGGGGTCTGATGCCATTTCAATGTTGGAGCAAGGAATGACCGATTCATGAGGCTGATGGTGGAAGAGGGCTACCACGATTCCGGGCTGGGGGACACGGGAAGGCGCGGCAGCTGGTGAGCCAGGGGTGCTGCTCTCCCAGTGTGCCAGTGCTGGGCGGTACCGACGACCTGGCCTTACCTTCAGGGCCGCGGGTGTGTCCTCCAGGCAGTAGACCCTGAGGCTGTACTCCAGGGAGGTGCAGAGGGCGGGGACGAAGATGGCCAGCTGGAGCCGCTTGACAGCCGAGCGGGAGTAGGACTCACCCGTGAACACGTAGGTGCCCAGCTGGTCCAACAGGATGTGGCAGGACCTGGCCTCCAGCTGGCAGTAGCAGGGGGTGTTCAGGGTCTCCTCGTCCAGAGTCACCACCTCCTGCAGGGTGAAGCACACAGGTCACGGCCGTGGAGAGGTCCACCCAGGCGGGGCCAAGAGAAAAGGGGCTTTCTCTCAGCTTTGGAGGCTTCCCAGAGCAGGTTCAGATAGCGGGCCCGGCCTCCCAGCCTCGGCTCCTCACCTCCCAGTGGCCCTGGTGGGCCTGGGTTTTGAGCTGGAAGATCCAGTCACCGGCGCTGACTTCAGCACAGTGGGGTACCGTGAGGATGACGGGGCGGCACAGCAGGAGGCCCGTGGGCCCACAGGTCACCGAGGGGCTCAATACTGTCTGGGTTCCTTCTGAAAGCGGGCTGGGGAGATGGCAGAGGGCAGGGGGCAGACTGTGAGGGGAGGCTGGAAGCTCAGCAAGGGCTGGGACTGGTGCGGGGCTCCCGCCTCTGCCCTGGCTCCTGGGTGGCCCAAGGCAGGTCTCCACCCCCCCGGGGCTCCCAGAGGTCAGGGGTTAAGGAGAGGCAGAAGGATGGCACAGGCCTTAAGACTGTTCTCAGATTTCTGTTGTTCACGGCCAAGTTCTCACAGCCATATTTTTGTTCGCGTTTTCTTTCTTTCTTTCTTTTTTTTTTTAAAGATTTTATTTATTTGAGAGAGAGAGAATGAGAGATAGAGAGCACAAGAGGGAAGAGGGTCAGAGGGTCAGAGGGTCAGAGGGAGAAGCAGACTCCCCGATGAGCAGGGAGCCCGATGCGGGACTCGATCCCAGGACTCCAGGATCATGACCTGAGCCGAAGGCAGTCGCCCTACCAACTGAGCCACCCAGGCGCCCTTTGTTCGCGTTTTCAAGGGTTCTGCGCTCTTGGGATGTTTTGGACAAGTGTTTGCTAAACTGCCCTCTAGAAAACTGCTACCAGTCTGGGCTCCCAGGGGCGTGTCATGGGGGGCCGAGTCCCCACGCTTTTGTCAATATGAAGGTTTTATCGTATGAAACAAACCCTATAAATTCAAGAAGTAAAAAACTCCTAATATCTCATGGCTGTTTGAATTACTATTTCTTTGACTACAAATTAGGCTGAATATTTTTTCATAATCTACCGGCCTCTCTGTGTGTGTGTGTGTGTGTGTGTGTGTGTGTGTGTGTGTGAGGGTGTGTGCATCAGAGAGAGTATGTGTGAATCACTTCATATCCTCTGACCACTTTTGTAGTGAAATGTTCAAAGCCTCTTTACCTAGTAAGGATATTAACCTTTTGTCATAAGGTAGCTACTTTGTCAATTGCCTTTCAGTTTCGTGATTTGTCCTGCTGATTTTGTATGTAATAAGATCTGTCAATGTCCTCCTTGGAGGACTACCTCTGGCTTTAGGATCAGGGAGTGGGGGATGGTGATATCTGAACCCAGGGTGGACAGGCAGCAGGGAGAGGAAGAGAAGGGGGGCCGCCCAGGCTGGAACTGAGGTCTCTCTACTCACAGGGTGTTCTCTGCCTTGTTGATAAGGAGGTACATCTCATAGAACTTGCCCTGCGGGATGGCTCCATTGGGCACCAGCAGGCTGACCCCTAGGGGGAGAGGGAGGTCAGCAGGGAGGGGCTGGAGGGAGTCTAAGAGCTTAGAACAGGGGTGTGTGGGGGGGTGGCTCCTAGCTTAGGTCGGCAGGGGGGGAGAATGACATCTCCCGAGATCCAGGTGGTCGACAGCAAGGGGTGGAGAGAGAAACTCTGGGGATTCGGTACAAGGACAGCCCAGGTCACTGACAGTGGTGAGTTTGTCGGGTAACACAGGGGCCCCTGGCATTGTGAAAGGGTATAAAGATGGCAAGGACTCAAAGTCAGAAGGCTCCAATGCCAGTTCCAGTCCCAGATCCGTTTGAAACTGGGAAACCATCAACTGATGGCTTTGCAGCCTGAGATGGGCAGCCCTGCCTTCCCAGTGGTGCTCTGTAGGTCTGTTGAATTATGAAGAGATACTCTCTCCCACTTAGCAGATGAGGTTGCCCTGCCTTAGTGGGCCAGAGAAAGGCCTGGACCCCAAGTCTTCTATTTTATTATCATTCTCCCCCCCTGGGCCTCATGTTTCCCATCTGAGAAAAGGGATCAGGGAAGTCCTAGCTTCTATCGGTGGAGGGGGTGCTGGGGATGCCTAGAGGGGGCACGCTGAGGCCGGGCTGAGAGGCAAGCAGAGCAGGAGCCCACCTGTGCCCGGGATGCTGAGCCTCCCACCCAGGCAGCCGAAAGTGCCGCTGACGCTGCTCCCCGGGTCACGGGGCAGGCCCAGGAGCTGCTGGGGGCCGAGGCTAGCACTGCGCAGGTGCAGGAAGTGGGCATCCCGGGTGAGATCGCCAGAGTATGTGCCGGGCGGCAGGACCCCCAGCAGGTCGGCCCCATCGGGCAGGCCCGGCCCAGAGCCGGTGGTGCTGGAATTGTAGACCTTGATCTTGAGACTGGGCAGGGGGTCCAGCAGGGGTGAGTTGGTCATGGGGATCTTGTCGGCTGAGTCCTGCAGGGCATACACGGGCCCGCGGTAGATGCCAGCACTGGCCGTGAGGTCCGGGGGTGCCGACGGGTGCAGGAGCTGGGGATTGTCTGCAGGGGTTGGGGCTGCGGTCAGACCCAACTGTGCCTCACTGGCCGGCTCCCACCCTCTGCTCCTGCCGGGGGCCCTTCTCTTGCCAAATCCCACCCAGTGTTCAGCTGCCAAAGGCTCAACTGCCATCCGCTGCAGGAAGCTTTGGGGACTCACCACCTGGGCTGCTCCTCTTCCCTGTGTGCCTCTGATCTACACTCATCCAGTTAACTGTAGAGCAAAGTCTAGGAAAACCCCGGGAGGGATCAGGAGCCTCCGCTGCGGTCTGGCTGGTCTGGCCGGCTGCCCCTGCCCCTCTGGGTGCCCCAGCCTGCATCTGCCCCCCCCCCCCCGCCACCCCGCCGGGTGTCCCCAGGTGCTTACTGGGCCTCGCAGTCTTGAAGTTGACGGGGTGGAAGCCGCCAGTGAGGGCGGCGGACGAGTCAGTGATGTCGGTGTCGAAGTCCCGGCAGTTACGGCGGTACACCACCACCCCCACCACCATGAGGACGCCCACGACCACGAAGGCGGACACCACGAGGCCTGCGTACAGCGCCACGTCCCCCGAGGCCTCCAGCACTGCGGGCACAGGAGGGCTGCATGAGACCCAGGTCCCGGGGCAGAGACCCAGGTCCCAGGACAGACCTGCCCTAGGCTAGGTCCTAGGCTCAGCGCCCCCAAGACTGGCCGGGACCTCAGGCAAGCCTGAACCGCTTTGCGCATCGGTCTCTGCAAGTAAAGTGGCCTCAAGTCCCCTGCCCTGCTACCCTCCCAGTGCCGAAAGACCGGTAAAATGACTCGTGGTCTGTCCCAACAGTGAACTCATGGCTCACTTCTGAGAAAGAGACAAGGGCTGTGGCTCAGTCTGTCCTGTCCTGGCCAGGAGGTTAACTGAGGGCCCCACTGCAAGCCTGCAGCATATCCTCAGGCCGGAGGTCCCGGCTCCCAGAACTCTCTGCCAGCTGCCGTCCTGAGCTCAACTCGCATCCTATGCCCGGAGTGGGGGTGGGGATGGAGGCAGAGGAGCGTGAGGCGGGAATGAGAGGCAAGGTGATGCGGTGGCGAGGAGGAGAGCAGGTGGAGGGGAAGGAAGGGGCTCAGGGAGGCCACCCATGGCTACACTTCCCTCCCCCAGGCAGGCTGCTACACAGCTACAAATAACTCTGTACGGGCCAGGCAGGAAGGTGTCAGGGTTAAAAGGGAGGGTCTACACGGCAGTGCCATCCAGCCGTGCTTTCCACAGCGATGCACGTTCTATGTCTGTGTTGTCCCATGTGACAGCCACGAAAATGTGGCCGGTGTGACTGAGGAACTAGGTCTCTAACAATGTGTTTAATTTTAACTAAGTTAACAGGAAGTTGAAAGAGCCACACGTGGCCAGTGGCTACCACATGGGAGAGCACACAGGCAGAGCCCAGATACCTGCTCTTCCTTCTTGTTTGTTTTGGGAGCTCCAGGAAGCACAAGTCCCGTCTCCCCTCCTGGGGGGTGGGGAGGCCTCAGAAAAGTAGGCCTGCTTTCCCTGCCTGGACCCTTTCAAGCCCCACTTCCCTGGTGCAGACTGAGCCTTCGGCAGGTAGGGCGTGGCTCAGTCCTGGTGTCTGCTGCTTCTGCCGCCTTCTGGCCCCATCTCTCCTCAGTCACCCTCATTCTTGGGCTCCCGCAGGTGCCTGGCCCCCGGGAGAGCTGCCAGAGGAGGCCCTCAAGGGCTTGGCTCTGCCTCCTGATGTTCTCCCTGACCACCGGGGGACACCAGCCCCGCCCCCCCCCCCCCCCCCCGGCTCTGAGCTGGGCCCAGGGCCTCACTGCTGATTTTATGATTCTGGAATGATTTGGAAATTATGGTTTAATTACCACAGGCCAATCTGCCTGAGCAGCTTTACTGCTCTGGGGCTGCCACAGCACAGCCTGGGGAGGAAGCTGACCAGCCCCTTGGGGCTGACGCTGGGCAGCGGGTTTCCTGGAAAGCCTAGTCCCGCTGTTGGGGGTACAGTGAGGGGCTCCGGATGGATGGTGTGGGCCTGGGTGCTGGCCTTGTCACAGAGAGGGAAGCTGAGGGTGCAAGGCTAAGAGCACCAGCTTTGGCCACATAACTAGTTAGATTCAAATCCTGGCTGGGTCCCTGGTCAGCCCCTTCCTCTCTCTGAGCCCCATCGTCTTCCGTCATGGGAGGCTCGGGACGGTATCCTTTCTGTCAGCTGCTGGTCTGCCTGTCTGCACGCGATGGAGGCCGTGACACGTGCAGCACCGGGGGCCAGGGGACCCCATGGAGGGTGGGTGAGGGGGCACCTTCGAGTCTCCCTGTTCTCCACCCTGCCCTGCACCCCACACCCTGGAAAAGCCAGTCAAGGAGAGCCAGGGATTCCCCCAGAGGAGAGAGGACAGCCATGAAATGGGACTTACGGTGGCTTTTGGGGTCACTTAGAGTTTTCTTATCTGTCGAGGGAAATAAAGGGAAAGACAATGACATAGGTGGCAGAGAAAGGGTGGTGAGGTGACAGGAAACACGCAGATGAGATGATGCACGTGGCGGGTGGCAGAGGTCCCCAGGGCCTGCTCCACCGCAGCCCGCACCAGGGGCCTGGGGCAGGCTGGGGATGGGGCCCCCACTCGTCCAGCTCGAGCCCCTCCCCCCCCCAGGGGGCCCTGCCATCCCAAGGACTCACTCTGCACGCACAGCCCGTCCGTGCAGTTCTTGGAGTCGAGCAGGGTCCCGCTGCAGTCTCGGCCTCCGTTCTGGGGCGGGGGCGCCATGCACTCGCGGCTGCGCCAGTGGGCACACTCGGTGCTGCAGGCCGACCACTTGCTCCACTCCGTCCACGCTCCGTCGACTGTGGGAGCACGGCACACAGCACGTGGGACACAGCGCGCGGTTCCGCACACAGAGCACAGCAAAGCACCCGCACGCGTCCCCGCGTGCTATGGCAGGAGAGGGAGCCAGACGCAAGCACAGCCACCCCCAGCCACGTGGCCCTGTGCCAGTGCAGCGGGGGGCACTGGGTGGGAGGCAGGCAGAACACACACACACACACACACACACACACACACACACACACACACACACGGTCCCTCACACAGACGCAGCCCAGGGCGCTCACAGGGACTCAAACCCAAGGCAAACACACAAAAACCTAAGAGCCCGGATAAAACCAGGCATGCAAGCGACCCACAGAAGGGGACGCACAGGGTGAGGCGAAGATGAGAGGAGAGAGGACCTTTGCAGGATTAGGGGTGGCGGACGAGACGTGTCTAGGTCAAGGGCAGGAGCACAGGCTCCTATTGACCCCAGGCAGCGCTGGGACCCCGGCCCTGGGGGCTGACACTGAGAACCCTCAGCCTGGAGGGCAGGAGAGCCCACCCGTCCGACGGCAGCTCTGTGTCTGTGTCTGTCTCTCTAGCAGCCGGGCGCAGAATGAGAGGGCAGAGCCCGCGGCATCCTGTCCGGCCTGCTCCGCCAGCCACGGGCCCCAGGACAAGCCCCTTCTGCCCCCCACAGTGGGGAGAGAACAGCCATCCTGAGTGGGGCAGCCGGCACCAGCACAGAAAGCAGGGCTGGGCAGTGGGGTGGGAACCGGGGTGGGTAGGCTGCCGGCTGGCCCCGCGGCCTTACCTGGGCACACGGTGGTGCAGGCGGTCTTTTGGAAGGCCTGGCCCTCACAGAAGGCGCCTCCATTGAGCGGGGCCGGGTTGGTGCAGGTCCGCGTGCGCTTCTGCCAGCCACGGCCACAGCGGTTGGAGCAGGGCGACCACTCTGCCCAGCTGGACCAGCCACCGTTCACTGCAAGGGCAGCGGGTGTCACGTGCTGGGCCTGGCTCTGCGACCTGTGGGCCCCCTAACCCCATCTCCAGCCCCCACGAGGCCCTTCTGCTGAGGCCTGGCCTTTCCTAACTGGACCCCTCCTGCCGTAGCACTGGGGACAGATCTGGGCTACAGCCGTCAGCACCAGAGGGGACCAGGGAGGCCACGGTCTATCCCCAGCCTCATTGTACGATGACAGACGACGGTCCAGAGAGGGCTGACGCTTACCCAAGGTCACCCGGTAATGGAGCCCGAAATAGGGCCTCTTTCTACCACACTCGAGGCATCTCAGCTATGGCTCTGCCCCTCCTACCCAAGGGAACCGCAAGGAAGAGCCTGCAGGCCTAGGTGGCCGTTCCTCACTCTACTGGGACGCCAGGCTCGGGCATGAGGATACTCACTGGGCCCCGGTCCAACCCCAAACCCAGGAGAGCCTGACTTGACGGCTAGCTTTGCTGTGTGATCTCGGTGAAGGCACCTCCCCTCTCTGGGCCTCAGCCGCCCAGCTGTCCACCGGGGCCCTGCTGGCCTCCTGGGTAGGACGCGGTGAGTGGGCAGACGGCCCGCCTCTCCCGCGCCCCTGGCCAGGCTGCCCCCGCGTGGGCCCGTACCGTAGACGGTGATGGTCGCGGTGGTGCTGCGGCGCTTGGCTACAATGTTCTTGGCCACACAGGTGTAGTTGGCCGTGTCCGACAGGCGGGCCTGGCGGATGATGAGGTTGTGGTCGATGGTGAGCAGGAAGTTGGTGTCCTGGGTGGGGTCGAGGACGTCCTCATTCTTTAGCCACTCCACCTGCAGGAGTGCGGTTGGGGGGCCGTGAGGGCCCGGTGCCTACTCACCTGCATCCCGGGGAGTGGGCCCTCTGTGGAGGGGAAGGGAGGGCGGCCATAACCAGGACAGCAGTTCTACGCATGGTCGCCCACGGTGGTGACACGGTGAGGCAGGCCCGCCACGGGCCAGGCCCTGTGCTGGGCGGTACAGAACCCAGTGGTTGTGACAACCACCCAGCAGCTGGACGGCCTCAATTTCATCAAACGGAGGGTGGCATTTATTAGCATCTACCCCACAGGGCTGTTGCAAGGATCAAACACGTCAGTGTGGAAAGTGTGGAGAACAGTACTTAGCTCCCCGTACGTGCAAAATAAGCATTAGCTAGTAGTGCACGCCTTCCCCATTAAGGCAAAGGCCACGTGGGGTGCATCATGTTTAGGCCCCCGCATTATGGAGACCCTTTGGTGTCCATAAAGCTGGCGCTTTGGCTTCTGGGTGGAGAAGGAGGATTCGGCCACAGGCTTAGTCTTATACATGAGACTGAGCCTGGGGCCTGCCCGAGTAGCCCTTGGGGATCTTGCCCCAGCTCTGCCCCATCCCTCGGGGTTATGCCTGTGGAGGGCCTGGCTGGGGTCCACACATTCTGAGTTCTGCAGAGGTGGTAGTTCCCTTCTCTGTCTCAAGTCTTGATATTCCCATCTGTGAAATGGGGAGAGCTCTGGGAGGCTGAGGCACCGTGGCTGGTAGTAAACACCAAGTCTGGCTGGTCTCTGTCATGCCAGTATTCCGCTCGTCCCCGCTCACCTCAGCCACAGGCACCCCCTCCGGTGGGCGGCACTGCAGGAGAACCTCCTGGTCCAGGGGCACTTCCTTGCCCAGAGGCTCCTGATCGAAGTTCTTGCGCAGGTCTGGGAGAAGGAAGAGGGGTCACCAGGCACAATGAGGTGGAACTGAAGCCTGAAGCACCCTGCTCTAGCCACTAGGTGGGAGTGCATACCAAGGGAACGGGCTCGACCTGGGGCATTTCCTTGTCAGGAAAGTGGGGCCTCACCGGGTGGAGCTGGGGGAACAGGTTTCCCTCCCTGACTCTGATATACTAAGCAGAGAACAACCCAGGAGGGTGCGGAAGCAGGCAGCTCCCTTTACAGAAGTAGGTGAAAGGGGCCGTTAGAAATCCTGAGGCCAGAGGTGGCCCCGTTCTGGGTCTAGGAGGCTTCTTCTCAGTGGGCACCCATGGGCCCTGACGTCCCTGTGGTGGGCATATTCAGCCAGGGATGCCCCCACAGAGGAGGAACTTCCTCTCTGCGGGGCGGGGGGGGGGCACGGGCAAGGGGAAGGGGCCCCGGGGGAATGGGGTGGGGGGGTCTGGACAGCATACATGCGATGCGGACATAGGCCCGGCGACTCTTGGTGGTGCCGGCGGAGCTCCAGGCCACGCACTGGCACCAGTAATCCTCCAGCCCGAACAGCTCCTCCACCTGCTGCCGGGACACCTCGATCTGGACCTCCCGTACCCGCAGGCCTGAGAGGGGGAGACGGATGTCAGCAGGGGGCGGGTCTGAGGATGGGAAGCAGGGGCCATGGCACCGGGACATCTGTCTCTCTTCTGCCAAGTGCCTCCCGTTTCCATGTATTTCCCTGGCCCGAGCCGCCACTGCTACTCCCCTGAAGACTGCCCTGGCTAACGCAAGCCCTCTGCCCCCCGTGCCAGCCACGTCCTGCCCTAAAGCCGGGGTGTGCTCTGCAAAGTGCACAAATGCTGCGTCACTCCCCTGGCTGTGCCTCCAGTCCTCACAACACAAAGACCTCGATCCTCCACTTGGCCGCCAGGCCCTACACCGTCTATCCACCACAGCCTCCCTGGGCATCTTCCCCACAGCCACAGGGCCTTTGCACATCTAGTTCCCTGCCTAGAACTCTCTTCTGTCCCCCCTGCACCCAATGGACTCCCAGTCACCTCAGCTTTGGGCTGGGTCTCACTTCTAGACGGAAGGCCCCTCTGACCCTGGCCCACCCCAAGTACCGCACTGAGTACGACTGGCTGTGCAGTTCTTTTTCCCTGCCCAGTCTGTTTTCCCCACAGCACTGACCACTCTCTGGAACTGTATCATCTATTGATGTGGTCATGTATGAATTACATATTTCCTGCAGGAGAATAAGGCAGGGCTTTGCCCTGTTTACTGCTGGGGCCCAGGATCTGGCACAGAAAAGGTGTTCCACAAATATGTGAAGACAGCATGTGGCCTCTCTCTGGGTAGGAGCTGGAGCTGGTGGGAGGTCCCTCTTCCTGGGAGCCCTCCAATCTCTCAACAGCTCCCTACTAGGGCGTGGAGGCCTCTCTGGATAATTGGGCCCACCAGCCTGCTCAGGAAGGATCAGTGACTCTTCTGCCAACCCTCGACAAAGCCCCTTATGCTTAGAAGAGGAACGAACCCTTCTGGATTAGGATGCCCATCCAAAGCTCTTCCCCAAAGCTTGTGGGAGGACAGCGAGGCCTCCTCCTCCAGGAAGCCCTTCCTGACTACCCCCATTTTCAGAATCCCTAAAGCCGCTCCTCCCTGCCATGTGTACCAGCTCTTCCTCTCATGCTTACACATGGGTTTTGATAAGACCCTCGAGGGCAGGATTGCCAACACTCCGTGGTACTGTGGCATGGTGGTCAAGTGTAGGGTTGGATGGCTCGACAGGTCTGAATTCTGGGCCCAACCTGACTCCCCAGCTGTGTGACCTTCATTCAGTTACTCAGCCTCTCTGAGCCTCAGTTTCCTCATCATAGTAACACACTCAGCGTGACAATCACTCTGCCATAGCACGCAGCCAAGGCTGAATACAAATCTACTCTGGAAGGTCATGTGGATCTCATCCAGGGTCCTTCCGCATGTGAACGCAGAGAGGGTCGGTGGCAGGCCCGAAGTCCCGCCTCAAGGTGCGAGCAGGGTTGAGATCAGCTATCTGTGTCTTGCCCTGGTTAAGCTCTACTCTCCCAGTAAAGTGCATTGCCTTAGCTCTCCTGGATCATGGGGTGGGATGGCCTTTGCACTGGGAAACCAGACAGTGAAGAAAATCCCAGGGATCTAAGTGGGAGGGGGCTGGGGGTCTGCCATCAGGGAGCATCAGGAGGGAAGAGGCTACTCCTGGGGGAGTGGCTATGCCTGCTCACAGTGGCTGCCCGGAGTCCTGGCTCGACAAGCGATGCGGCGTGGCCCAGGCCACCACAGCTGGGCCCCCCGCCCCTCATTCACCAGGCTGTGAAACTGGAAGGGGGGGTCCCTCACAAGGGGGGGTCATCCATCCAGAAGCCCCCAACAGCTGGACAGACAAACCATCACCCAGTGGGACTCAACACCGTGGTGATGGTCACCAGCAGACATGGGACAAGGACCTTCAGTCTCCCAGACTTGGGCCCCAGCACCAGGTGTGCCCCGCTCCGGCACGGCGGCCACCTGGCAGGTGGTGTCTGGGCCGGGACACCCAGGCTTGGGCTGCTTGTCCCGACCCGGCATGAGCTGGTGGCTGGGGGACTCGTCTCGGCTCTTCTGGCCCCCAGCTGTCATCCTCTGTTCTTTCGGGGCCTCCAAGAGTGCCAGGGTGGGGAGCAGGAGGCGGAGGAGGAACCAAGGCCACACGGCCGCCCAGGGAGGGCCCACAGGACCCGGTCTATTCTTTGTCACTAATGGGGACCAGAGTGCCCCAATTTCAGGGGCTGGCAGGGCTCGCGTGCCTGGTAGCAGGGGAGAAGGAGCCATGCTGTTACTATTACTCGTAATTACAGGGTTTGTGAGAGGCCCCAGCAGGGTACACCATCCCGTTGCTCGGTCTGGACCCCCACCACTGACCTCCGATCAGGGCCAGAGGGGCTCAGGGCCACAGAGAAATAAGGACAGGTTTCAAGAGGAAAGAGGCCGAGAAAAAGCCAGAAAGAGAATAGAAAAAAATGGGGTTTCCTGAGTGCCTGCTGGGTCCTGGCACTACGCTCAACACCACGCAGGCCCCACCGAGTTCCACCCCCACGGGGACCTTCCGTTAACGTCCCAGTTTACAAGGAGAAGAAGTGAGGCTCAGAGGGTGACGCACGTCCCAGAGTCACACAACCGGGGCCTGGGAGCAGCTGGGGTAGGTTTCTTTTCTCTCGCTTTTAAAAATCCCTTATTTTATTTTTTAGATCTTGGGGGAGCATGAGACTCCAAATCCATTTTCTAAAATTCTTTCAAAATGTTGGTAAAATATACATATAACCTAAAACTTGCCATTTTAACGTATACAGCTGAGTGGCATTACGCGCATTCTGGGGTATGGTTTCAAGTCTGGGCGGTACTGAAACCTGCAAGCTTTTCACAGAAAAACGAAGTTGGAGGAGGGGGAAAGGAGAGAGAGTGAGAGAGAGCGTGTTGGCGGGGGAGACAGAGAGACGGACATAAGGGAAGACAGACAGAGACCGGGGCGGGAATGGAGAGGCGGGAGAGGCAGAAGGAAACAAGAGAAGGCTCCAAAAGAAGGGAGAGAAGGGTGAGGGAAGAGGTGGTAGCAGCAAGACCAAAGCGGAGGCGGGCCGTGGGGCGAGGGGTCCCGGGAACCCGCGCCTGGCTGGGCTGCCCGACGCTGGCCACCTGCAGCCCACCAGCAGCAGCATGGCCCTGCTCCCTGGCCTGAGCCCTGGAAAGGACCCCCTGAGGGGCCTAGGGACACAGAAGCCCACACCTGGCCTCGGGGGCACTGCTGGGGGTGCCCGGGACCCCGCTTGCCTCTTCCTCTCAGGATCCGGGCTACGTCCCGGCACCACCTCTATGGTTATTTACTTACTAATACCAACCTCGTCTTTTGACCGAAAACAGCTGATCTCTACGGAGGAGACGCATCCTTCTCATGAACGGGGACACAACCACTCCCCACAAACACAGAGGCCCTCTGACACTGACGATGGTCTAGGATTCTGGGTATGTGCTGGGGGCCAGGGCTGCAGACAGGGCAGCTCCTCTTCATTATACAAGGGCAGAGCAGGTGCTGGATGTGCGTGCGTGCCTGTAAGAACTCTAGCACTGCCCCCCCCCCCCCCCTGCTCTCCCCATTGCTCCCTGATGTAAGCTGGAAACGGGGAGGAAAGGATTCGGTGCTCTTTCTTTGGTAACCCAATCAGACGGGAACATGTGGTCAACCGTTGGGGAGATACGGATCCAGGATGAACCCCAGAGGGGAAACTGAGGCCCAGGGGCTGCCATGGCTGTGTGAAGTCTCACACGGAGCCCAGCGTGGAGCCAGGCCCAGGACCCAGCGTCCCTGGCACCCCTGGGCCCCGGTGTCTTGGGGGTGACCGGACGAGTGGGGCAGGCTCACCCGTGGCCTCATCCAGGCCCTCCTGCGTGACGTGGTCATTCTGGCTGACCCACTCGCCGTTGCACTTGAAGTAGATCTGCGTGGCGGGGAAGGCGCGGCAGCGCAGCTCCACAGGCTTGTTCTTCACGATGTAGGCGTCCTGGGGCTCCTGCAGGAAGTGGGGCAGGGGCTCAGCCGGCGCCGACGGGAAGGAGTCGGGGAGCACCTCGCTGCCAGAATCCGTGCCTGTGGAGGGAGGGTGGGCTCCGTGAGGCTGCAGGCTAGGAGGAGGGGATGGGCAGCTGGAGACCAGCCGGGATGCCCTCTCTGACCCGGGCAAGGTCTGGCACTCCGGGGGGCCTCAGCTTCCCCATCCCACCCAGCTCTTAAGAGCTTGTGCTTTGGAGCCAGTCCTAGCTCTCTGATACTGGGCGATTCTACTTCTTTACAGATCAAGATGTCAGGGTGGCCTGGAGAGCTGAAGTGATCCGTCTGGACAAGGATGCCCCTCTAGCCCTCCCCAGTGTCCCCTGCACTGGACCTACTGAGCCTCCCTCCAGTTTCCCACGGTGATGCCCCAGGACGTGAAGGTCTGGAATGGGGCTGAGGCCGGAGCACAAAGCAGGCCAGCTCTGCCCTGAAGCCACAGCTGCCCTTTGCAGCCCCGGCCAGCCAGCCTGGTGCAAGTGGAGAGACAAACCAGGACCCACAGAGGCATGAGGTGGGGTGCGGTGGGGTGGGTGGCTGCACCGGGCCTGGATTCTTTGGAGCTTGGCACCCGCACAGGGCCTCCTCCTCCAGAATGCCCAAGGCAGGCAGCAGCATGGAGGGGGAGACCACCTCCCCAGCAGCCTTTACGAAGAGCCCCCCCTCCTCTGGGCTGTGACTGTCCCACTCCTTAGCCTTTTCCACCTCAGCCAAACCCACACCCTCCACCCTAACAACAGACAAGAGAACTGCAGAGCCTGGGAACGCAGCTAGGCTGTGCCTGCAACGTCCTCCCCAACAAGGGGCCAAATGGGAACACTGGCCCATCGGCCTCCCTGGAAACAACAGTGCCTCATGAGGTGAGACAAACAGGAAGGGAGAGGGCCCGGCCACCACCAGTGCTGGGAGGGAGGGAAACCAGGCCAGGCCAGCCCATTGGTTCACCATCCACTTATGAAAATTGACTTTCCAACACCAAGCGCCAAACAGTCAGGTGGCTGGGACAAACGGTGGGGGCTAAGCTCCAGAGGGAACAATGAATTAAACTGCAGGGGTGTGCATCCGCCCAGCCCCTCACAGCCGGCCATGGCCTGCCACTGTTGCACAACCCAGTCCCTCAAGTGGGGTGGGGCCCCAGGAGGCACTTATCCCCTAACCCAGGAGGCCATGATGGGCCATGCATTGGCCCCTAGGTGCAAAGGGGCCAAGGGGACACTGTTCTCCAAGAGCCGAATGAACAAAACATGCCATCTCTTTATGGACCAGGAGCTCCTGCTAAGACTTAGGGTGGGGGTGGGGGGGGGTTCAGGCGCTCTGAGAACACGCAGAGGTTGTCACTGGCTCCAGGCGATCCGTCCCGGGTAGAGTGTGTGTGTGTGTGACCTGCGGGAGCGAAGGGGAAGCCCGCAAGAAGGTGTGAACCCAGCTCCATCTAGCATGTTCTGTGTGACCCTAGGATAGCCCTTTAACTCCCAGCGCGTTACTTCGTCTCTGAAGATGGCAGGGAGGTAAACACCCTCCCCTGGGCTGTTTCGAGGACCACATGAGCTAGATAAGCATGAACACCCAGGAGGGGCCTAGCACATAGTAGGTGCAAAGCTGTTGCATGAAAATGGCAACTAATGCTCGCCTCGCATTAGGTACTGTGTTGTTAGTACTGTATGCAGTCAGCTTACCTAACTCTTGCAACAACTCTGTAAGGTACTTATGTTAGTCTTTGGCTTATATGTGGGGCAACTGAGGCTCCAAGAGGTGAAGCAACTTGCTCTAGTGCACAGAGCTAGTAAGAGGTAGAGCCAAGGTTTGAACCCGATAAGCAGACCCCGGCATCTGGGATGCTGCCCAGACGGCCTGCCACTGGAGTAGCTCAGTAACATGGTGAGTGTCCCCGCATCTGAGAATCCTGATACATCCTGACACCAGCCAGGACCCCACAACTCTCAGAGCTCTCTCATTAAAGGGTCAGCGAGGTTGGAACGGTCCTTGTTTTGAAACTGAAGACCATCCGTGTGGGGTAATGACTGACCGAGGCTCCCTGGCCAGTGGGCAGCTAAACTGGGAAGAGCCCTGAGGATACTGGGGCTTCTCCATGCCCACTTCCCTCTGTCAGGCAGGGAGACCCCTTCTTTGTAGGTAGAAGACTGGCAGCCCCTAGGCTCTGGGAGCTTGGGCAGTTGATGGCAAGATGAAAGAGTGCCGAGGGAGCTGGACAGTGTCTCCCAGCAGCCTGAGAGCGGGTGGAGCCAGGAGGGCATGTGGGCAGCAGAGCACCTGCAAGGTTCCAAGCACCCCCAACTGCTGCGAGCACCCTGCTTCAGTCTCAGGTATGGGGGGTGTGAGGCAGGGCGCAGACTTCAGACGCAGCCACCGCTGGTTCTGAAGTCGCCCTTACTGACCTCAGGCACCTCATCCGTGAGATGGGGGTACCAGGCCTCCCTCTGGAGGGTGGGAGAGAAGGTGCATGGGAGCCTGTGGGTCCAGGCACCTGCTAGCTCTCCTTTCTAACCGTGCGGCCCCCAGCCCCCAGGTGATGGCTGTCTTGGCTCTCTGCGGCACTGCAGACTGTATTTATGACTTGGTTTTATAACCCTAATGCGGCTCATTTATAAAGCAGGCGCAGACGCGGCGGAGGAAAGTAAACACGAGACATCCATTAGTGCAGCAGGGCCCGAGCCTGGCGGCCCCTGGCCCCACCTCTCCTCTCCACCCTGGCACAAAGCTTCCTCTCTGGCCTTGGCAGGGATGCGGCTGGGGATCCTCATCGGTGCCTCTCTGGCCCAGCCGAGCAGGGGAGCTCTCGATGTAGCTACTTGCAACATCCCCACCCCCCGGGTGTCCTGGATTCAGATGTTGCCAGGAGACAAGGACTAGGTCTGACCTGAGAATTCCTCCCAGGCGGACCACCAGCAGATTGTACGCTTGCCAGGTATGTAGTAGGTGCTCAGTGAATGCAAATTCAATAAAATTGCTAAGCTGGGCTCCTGCCCTCATCAGTGAACACTTCTCCCTGGCTTGGGCCCTTGAAGTTGAGGGAGGCTCCACAGGTATCCCAGCTGAGGGCCAGCCTAGAGGGAGAGGAGTGATGGAGTTTCAGGGTCCCCGGGGGGCTTCCTCTGCCTGAAGCTTTCCTCTGAACTCTCGGAGGCTCGCATCAACTCACACACAGCTTCTGAAACTTCTTTGGTCTTTAGTGTCTTTTTATCCCAAGGCCAAAAGAAATTCCTAGTGGTTCTGTTTATTAAATAGTTAGAGCCAAACAGCTTGTGTGTGTGTGTGTGTGTGTGTGTGTGTGTGTGTGTGTGTGTCCTTCCTAACAACTTGGTAGCCATATTGTTGAAAAACAATACCCATAAGTAAGTCAGAGGGGGAGACGAACCATGAGAGACGATGGACTCTGAAAAACAAACTGAGGGTTCTAGAGGGGAGGGGGGTGGGGGGATGGGTTAGCCTGGTGATGGGTATTAAAGAGGGCACATTCTGCGTGGAGCACTGGGGGTTATGCACAAACAATGAATCATGGAACCCTACATCAAAAACTAATGATGTAATGTATGGTGATTAACATAAGAATAAAAAAATAAAAAAAACCCAATACCCATAAATCGGAGGAAAAAATAAGATTCGTATTCCATTCCTAAAGAGGCACACTGGCTAGTCATGGGGGTGTGCACACTGCTTGGGCACAGCTTCTCAAGTCTTGGAATGAGACTGGCCCCTCCACCCTCATTGTCTGTCTCAGAGTACTTCCAAATGCTCAAATCCCACCTCTGCAAAGACAGGATGCTGTGTAAAGGACAGAAGTGTGATACAATGTTGAAATCGAAAGCTATCTTGAGCAAACAGTTGTGGCAGTGTCTAGCAAGCTGTTCAGCACAGCTGTCTTTCCTCTAAGATGAATAATTTCCCATAGCACCCCTGGGAATGCATGCAGCACCCTGGGGTGCTTTGGCACACCGTTTGGGAAACTTATTATTATGCCCCTCCTACAGACGAGGAAACAGAGGCCAAGAGAGACAAAGTAACTGGCGCAGGGCTGTACAGCCAGGAAGCAGCAGAGAGCGAGGGAGCAAATCCGGGCATTCAGGTACCTGAATCTGACTTCTGAATTAGAATTGGCATTTGCTTCCACTATGTGGCAGGTACTTTAAATATTTTGCCCAGTTTACTTCCCACAACCCCCAAGGTGAGGATTATCTTTTCATTTTCCAGATGAAGACTTGGGGCACCCAGGGACTTGCCCCATGGCGAGGTCCCCTTGTCGGCGGGAGGAAGGGCCAACTCTCCCCGTCACCTGTCACCCTGGCTTCGCTACAGGTCTTCACAGAGGAGACTCCAACACTGAGAAGAGCTCCCAGCAGAGGACAGCCTGCTTCTGCCAGGCCAGATCCGGGTCTGGAGTTCCAGCTGGCGGGAAAATATCCCACATCAAGTGCATTTTTCTAATAGCACAACTCATTTAAAATGCAACCTGCCTTTAAAAGCCACATACACGAATGGCCTGGCTATCCCAAGATGAGGGTAGGAGGGCACATCCTCCCAACAGATGTAACCACAGACGGTCAAACGCGGGAAAACGCCAGGAGGTCTGGGTCTGTACCCCAGCTGGGGACTGGTGTCACCGCTGGCCTTCCTCTGACCACACAGCCCCCATCTCGAACACCAAGAAGCTGGTGGAACCAATCTCTCAAGTCTTACTCTGATTTGATCACGTTGAGATTAGAAGGTGTCTTATGTGGCATCTGTCCGTGTAGGATGGTATCCCACTGGGTCCGTTTTTAATTCCTGAAGCGAATTTCCTTCAAGCGTGGTCACCTTTTTTTTGCCACTGTTAATCCTCGCTCAAAGGCCCCGCACAGACCGTGGTCCTACAGCACTATTTGCTGCTAGGCTCTCCCAACCAAGCCCAGGCCCTCCTACCCCAGGCCTCAGCTCACCAGGACAACCAGCACCTCCAGGTTGGACCTCTGGTGGGCGCCATTCAAACCCTCACTTCCAATTTACCTACAGCTGCCTGAGGGCTCTTGTCGGGTGGTGTCACG